AAAAAAAGGATAAAACCAATGCTTTTAGAAAGAATTTTACTATGAGGGCCAGCAGGTGGCATGATGGTTGAGGCTCTTGACTCCCACATGGCCGACCCGAGTTCAAGTTCTGGACCTAGCAGCTTGCTTTCTTTCTCTGACTCTCTCATATGCATACATGTCTTATAGCAAAATTTAAAAAAATAATAATTAAATTTAATTAAACATTTTTTCTATGAGTTTTTTTCTAAATGTTAGATAACCCACCAAGTTACTATTTAAATGTGAAGGGTAATTTGATAATGGAAACTGAAAGTACGAGTTCAAGTTGTGGACCTAGCAGCTTGCTTTCTTTCTCTGACTCTCTCATATGCATACATGTCTTATAGCAAAATTTAAAAAAATAATAATTAAATTTAATTAAACATTTTTTCTATGAGTTTTTTTCTAAATGTTAGATAACCCACCAAGTTACTATTTAAATGTGAAGGGTAATTTGATAATGGAAACTGAAAGTAGATAGATAAACAGACCCAGGTAACCATGCAGTTTTATGAATTACCATAGTTTCACTCTTCCATATATATTTGCTGTCTCAACCTTAGTTAAAGTGAAACAAACTACCTGATGCCCTGGATTATAGTAGAGGGAAAAAAACGATTAATTATTAGAAGATCACTAATGTGATCTTGAGAAAATCAGTTTTCTATTGTGATTCTTGATTTATAGAATAAGGAGAAATAATGTTCTCTCAGAGACCTGGTAGGAGACGAAAAATAGTATATGTAAAAATAAATATATACAGGAAATTTTAAAACAAAGTTTGTGAAAATTGAACTAGAATACAAGTTTATTTTGTCACACAAAATTGAAATCCATGCATCGATTTTTTTTTCTTTTTTTTTTTTTGAAGAGGTTTTTGCTATAGGGCACGTGCGCTCACCAGAAAGACAGAGATAGAGAGATAGAAAGCGAGAAATCACCCCCCAGGGGGGATGGTCACGCTGCAATCCCTTCTCCTCCATTCTCTTCTTGGGATCTTGGGTACACACGCACACACGCCCGGCGTGAATTTAAGCCACCGGGCCTGGGACTTGATTCGTGGTCGGCTACATGGGAGTTCAGCGACATAGCTGTTACGCTAACTGCTGGCCCCTGCATCGATTTTTCATAATACACATTTTCCATGAATTTTTGAAGACCACACACATACACACACACACACACACACACACACACACACACACATTTTTATTGTTTCGTATATAATCATGCATGCACACTTTTATTATTACCTGTATAATTATCTCAATTTTTATCAGCGAATATACTAAGAAACTAAATCAGTGTAGTTCATTATGGAAATAAATTGTGTCTCATAAAAATATGCTACCTATAGAGTTTCTGCTCTAGTGTTCTAAAGCACATCTATTTACTTCATTCTCTTTTACCTTTGTACAAAGAATTAATGAGTAAAACATTCCTAAGCACTCTTTATTTCACAGTTGGGGCTGTCCATACCTTTTTAATCAAGTTTTGTCAATAATTGGCTTATCATAGTTGTATGTAGTGATGGGATACAGTGTGGTTTTTCAATACATGGTACAATCAAATCAGAGCAATACATTATCTCTAACGTTTCTCATTACTTTCTGTTAGGAACATTTTAGATCTTTCTTCTAGGTATTTTGTATTATACATTACACTGTTATTAATAATAGTTACTATCCTGTGCTTTAGTACTCTAGAACTCATCCCTCATATCTAACTGCAGTTTTGATTCTGATAATCAAGTTCTCCCTAGTCTTTACTCCCCCACCTCTTTCCATATTTTGGTATTGCCATCAACTTTCCACTTCTACATGACCATATATGTAGACAAACTCAAATATTATACAAAAATAGCTCATGGAACTGAGAATTGAACTAAGTAAAGTTGCAGGATACAAAATCAACATACAGAATTCAATAGTATTGTTATACATCAATAATGAACTAGCTAAGAATGAAGTCAAGAAAGCAATCATATTTATAATTGCTGCAAAAACAAAAATGGAAACAGAACTTAGAAAGGAATTTAAGGAGGTGAGCAATCTCTGAAATGAAAACTATAAAACACTAATGAAGGGAATTAAAGACACAAAACATAAAATGGAAAGAGACATCTCATGTTGCCCAAATCATTTTTTTTTTCTTTTCATTATAGGGCATGTGCTTGTTTGTGCATAGGAGAGAGACAGACAGAGGCAGATAGAAAGCAAGAAAGCAACCCCCATGGAGCATGGACACATTGCAATCCCTTCTCCATTTCTCCCTCCTTTGGGGATTTTGGGTACACATACTCAGGCACCCAGCATGTTTCTCAGGCCACTGGTTCTGGGACATGAACTGCATGCCCAGCCACATGGGATCTGGCTGCCTTATTCACCAGATCATGGATCTGGCCTACCCAAGCCTTTTAAGGAGTGGTGCCTGTTTCTGTCAACACAGACTAAGAAGAATCAGAATTGCATAGAGAAAAGGGGAGAGAGAGAGAGAGAGAGAGAGAGAGAGAGAGAGAACTCCTGGGAAATGCCCTTGTAGAGGGAAGTGCACACAAAGATCATCAATCTAGTAAAACAGAATATTATACCCTGTACAGAACTTTAGGTAATTGGGAAAAAACCAGAAGTTGTAGTTGAATTACAGAGAGACCCCATGTTCTCCCTATCCCATTGCATTTCTGTGAGTTCCAATATGAAAGAGAAAAAGACAAGCGCAAAATTCTATTTCTTTGGTATAATATAATGTTTTTGAGGCAAACATGTTTCTTGCCTGTCTTTATCTATGAAATCTCTTTCACACATCTTCACTCACTCAGTATTTGCTGGAGTAAACTGAATGATATTAACCAATCAGAGCTAGCACTGTGTTATCTCTCTAGGCCCTTCTGATTTTCCTCAATTGTGAAAGCATTGGAAGTGACAATAAAGAATACTCTGTGTGTTTCTTTAAATGTAACTTGGATTCGATCTTGTGACTGTCACTTGTGTTTAGTATTATTAAGGTAATAAATTATTCTGACCACTAGTATTGATTCTGTGCTAGAGGAATGTGTCTTTAAATCTTTACTATTTTCTTGCAATGTAGACTGGCACAGTTTCTGGGGGAAGGAGAAGAAGGGGTCTTTGTGTACTTCTGTGGGTAAAAATTCTTTGGATCATAGAAGATAAACAAGTTGATCTATATTTTCTTTACATTCTTTGGTTTAATTACTTTATGTTATGCAGCCCAATGTTTAAATGCTACTGACATGTACCAAATGCTCGCTAATGACTTCATGATGAGTAGTTTTAAGAATAAAGTAACATATTTTTAAAAAGAGAGAAAAAGAGAATTGAACCTTAGCAAATGGGAAATAAAGGAAAGTTGGAGAGAGAGCAAATTCCAATAAAGACTTTGTTGCCCATTACTTTCTTAACGTTCATAAATTAGCTATTAGTGTCATTACTTATGTAATAGTTTTTGTTTTAAAATACCATCTTTGTAAAGTCATCATAGCTATGACCCACCTACACACCTGTGACATACCTATACTTCTAAAGCTACTAATATCGGTATTTTAGGAGCACAAAGGGTAATCTAAAAATAACACACTTCAAATCAACAAGGAAAAAATAATTTTGGAAATAGAGTTTTTAGTATCCTTTAAAGTAAAATATATTATACAACGTCCATTGCTTTCTAAATCTTACTTTTTTCTCTAAAATTTGACAATGCAGTTTTGATCTTGCTGATGCTCTGAACAATCTGTCACTTTATGGAATATTCCCAAGAGAGTGCTCTTACTTAACCCTTTGTTGATAAGAAATGCAGAGCATAGAAATTTGAAAGGCTTATCATAGGATGTCATAAAGTAAGAATCAGAATGGGATTTTAAGGGATCTCCTGCCTCACTCATTATGTTGAACTTTTCATATGGTTCTGTTTATGGAAAATGAAAAATAAATAGCTTTGGGGCCTGATTGCTGTGTATAAATTATTTTCAGAACACAGGAGAAACCAGATTCCAGTTCCTGTTATTTCTGTCCTGACATTTCTCTGTAAATCAGTAAGGCTTGTTTTATCCAGCCTTTGCCAAATCAAATATGATCCCTGATTTTTCCTTTGTGTGTGAAGATACAGCACAGTGCTCATCATGACAATGTTTACTGAAGTGAAAATTTGTATATGATTGTATGAATGTCTAATAGACTTGAAGTGAAGGCTGTCAAATTCAAGACTGCGTGGAAAGATTGCATTTGTTCTTTCTTACCAGACATTTGTGACATTGATTTAGAAGCCAGAATTTCTTATTTTGTCCCTTAGTAAATAATTTATTAAGTTTTTAAAGATTTCTTCAATTTCTTCTAAATGTAATACTTGAGCACTTTTAAAGATAAGTGCTATATAAAATTAGCAAGAAAAAATCTATTATCATATTATTATGATTAGCCCTCTGATCTCAATCTCTTTTTTTATGTCCTTGTTTGTTTTTAATTTAATTCTAGAGGTCTGCTGAAGTATCAAACTAATTTAGACACTCACCCTCCTGGCTGCATCAATCTTAATCGAACCCGTTTTCAGAACATTTCCTTGCCAGAGTATCTTCCAAAACATTTTTATGGACCTCTCCCTGGAGGAATCTCAAAGTCAGAAGAGCTGACCCAGAACACATTTCTGAAGATTTGTATGGAAGAGCCCAGGTTCCAAGCTAATTTTCCACAGGTCAGATTAATCTGTGTTTAATCTTCACAAAATTTGTATTTTCATAAAATTACCATTGAATTCAAATATATCTTTAAAACTCTACTAGAGTTCTCGGGGACTAGCAGTTAGCGTAATGGCTATGTCACTGGACTCCCACGTAGTTGACCGCGGTTCGCGTCCCGGATCCGGTGGCTTAAAACTCACGCCGGGTGCGTGTGCATGCGTGCCTAAGATTCCGAGAGGAGAAGAGAGGAGAAGGGATTGCGGCGTGGCCATCCCCCCTGGGGGTGATTTCTGACTTTCTGTCTCTGTGTCTGTCTGGTGAGCGCACACGCCCTATAGCGAAAACCTCTCCAAAAAAAAAAAAAAAAAAAACTCTACTAGAGGTCTTTAAAAAATAAGTAAAAATGGATATTATGAAAAGTTATATATGAATTTCAAAAGTTTTTACACCAAAATAGATGTATTCTTTGTGTTTTATAAACGTTTTTTTTTTTAAGAGGTTTTTCCTATAGGGTGCGTGTGCTCACCAGACAGACAGAGAGAGACAGAGAGACAGAAAGTGAGAAATCAGCCCCCAGGGGGGATGGCCACACCACAATCCCTTCTCCTCCCAGGATCTTGGGAACGCACGCACACACGCCTGGCATGAGTTTTAAGCCACTGGGTCTGGGACGCGAACTGTGGTCGACTACATGGGAGTCCAGCGACATAGCCATTACGCTAACTGCTGGTCCCTGTTTTATAAACTTTTTGAAGCCCCTTCATATATTTATACATACTAGGATATTTCAAGATGTTTCAACAAGTTCTGTTATAGGCACCTGAAAGTTCAAGGCAACAGATCCACAATATAGAAAATTCCTGCAGAACTGTCCTTATGATCTTTGCATACTATGGCCCTGACACTTTCAGAGAGATGACAAAGAGATTTTTCCCATCCATTGAGAAAAGCGGTTTGAATGATAAAGACCATAGTGAAAGAACTAATAATACTAATTCTTTTTATTATTATACTCTAACATAATATGACATTGCAGTATTATGAGTAATATTGTAAATAGTAAATGGCAGTCATTGTATTGAAAGCTTCATAGTGCCTGTGAGGCACTGTGCTAACATGTAGTTTGTTTAATTCCTTTTAATATTTACAATGACTCTTTGAAGCAATTAATATTATCCTCAATTTTCTCATAAAGGAATTGTGCTTAAATACTTAAAGTGCCTGGAGCAGAGTCTCCAAACGAGTAAGTGGCAGAGGTAGCGGGCGAACCCAAATGTGACAAAAATGTTTGCTCTTGGAAAACTCAGAGAACTCAGCAACTAGTTTGATAAAGGCTCGAATCTTCCCTCCTGCCTGTGGGAACTGCCACGTGTAGATTATACCCCATTATGTTTTCCCACTACTCTGTGGAAGTAGGAAATAGTGATGCCACTTGTCTATTTTAAGACGTCCAGAGCTAGAATGAAACTACAGATGGCTTTGGAATAAGTGTACCAAGTCTATTGTTTATTATTAATACTCCTCCTCTAGAAACCTATTAGACTTTATAACTTGCAAAAATTTTTGTTTGTTCATTTTCTTCTGAGCTTCACATAATGCTGAATATTAAACAAGGCAGACATGTAACTCCCATTTTACTTCCGTGGATCCTGATGCTCCTGGAATAAGTGGCTGCCTCCAAATTGCAAGGCCATTACATTATGGACCTTGTCTTGCAGTATCTGCTCATCATAGTGTTGAGATAAATGCCATTGTACGCAGACTCATGATCTGTGTGGAAGAAGGAAGGTCTGGAACCATATAAATAAGGTTAAAAAGGTGACCAAGCCAGCCAGTGGCATGGTGGTGGAGGTAACTGGATCCAAAATGGCTTACTGCATGGTTTGAGTCCTAGACCACTTAAAAAAACCATGAGGGGCGGGAACCAGCAGTTAGTGTAATGGCTATGTCGCTGGACTCCCTACGGTTCGCGTCCCGGACCCGGTGGCTTAAAACTCACGCTGGGTGCGTGTGTGTATGTGCCCAAGATCCCAAGAGGAGAATGGAGGAGAAGAGATTGCAGTGTGACCATCCCCCCTGGGGGGTGATTTCTGGCTTTCTGTCTCTCTGTCTCTGTCTGTCTGGCGAGCGCACATGCCCTATAGCAAAAAAAACCTCTCCAAAAAAAAGAAAAAAAGAAAAAAAAAAACCACGAGGGGCATGTATGTGAAAGGAGGGAGAAATGGATGAGAAGGGATTGCAGTGTGACCATTCCTGGTCACACTTTTTCA